GAGGGCACCTTTAAACTTTAACAGGTACTGTTCTTTTTTCGTTAGTACGCCGACTTAAAAGTCTTTCAACACGGAAGTGTACTTTGCCAGCGAGAGTGTTCTACGCGTAGCCTCAAAACGTGATAATTGTGTCAGATTTTTCCGATAATCTCATCGCGGGTCCGTTCAAGACGTCGACCGTCGGCCTGTCACCTTCTGAGAGTAGCATCATCGAATTCATTGGCTCGAGGCACCCTAAATACTCAAATGGTATTTCTGTCTTTAAGTAGAAAGTAGGGCACACTCACGCCAAACTCAGAGTGTTTCTGTTACATCTGCATGTTGCTTGTGTACATCCTGGCTTTTGGTGCACTTGTTGCATGAAGCAAAATCTCGTTAATACAAAAAGTATCGACTTTGCTACAAATGTGCAATCGGGATGATTCCAGCGAGTTGATCACTGTCGACTTTCCTTCTCTCACCAAGATATAAAAAACTCCGTGGATTAAGAAGGACACGGGGGGGTCGACCAAACTATTTGTGACAATTGACGGAGATGATGCTCCAATCAACAGTGTCAATATATGGCAGGTCAACAATGTGCCAAGATTCCCTGAAAGCGATTCATGGTTTTTTAGCGCCGAGTAAGGTTGTCGGTGGTCTTCATTGAAATTGAAATCAAAATAGCAAAGCTCAACTGATCGCCAAGGATTTAAAGCAACGAGTACAGTATGAAGTAAAACGTTCTCGCTAGTGGTCAATATATATTCAGTTCGCGCGAATTAAGTAGTTTTGCCGGCTGAGGGAATCTAAGCAATTTGAGGCCGATGTCGGGCTTTTGATTAGCGTTTGAAGGTCATTGTAGACACTGGCCGGACGGATTCCCAGCGAGGGTATTGCTTTCGAATCGGGAGTGCATCTCCGGTTTTTGGAGCTATGCATTGTGTTATGTGTCAATGATTCCTATCAAGAAACCAGTATGACGTCAAATCGCTTTCGCTTGTGCGGCTTACCAAGCGATTGAGAAGATCTATCTATTTGATGCCTAACATTTGTGTCAGAAGGCTTACTTCAAAGATGGATTGTGCATACTTATAGTCGAGTAAATGCAGCCACTATTCCAGCGCCAGTTCTGATCCTGGAGAGGACGTATGATTGCACCTTGTTCAGTGCCTCAAACTAAGAATATGAATACTATCAGCAAATCATGAGAGACAGTGATACTACTCTCGCACGTTATGCGGGATGCTCTGGGAGTGTCGTGTTATTTCTGGGGACTGTCTAGCGCATCTGTAATATTCAACTGTCTCGCATTCAGGCTACACTGCGCTGATGTACAAAATTATCTTGAATGTCTAAGCGTCCGATGTCTTGCAGTGCACGTAGAATCGGATGTGGGTAGCCAAATCAAACACTGCGAGCTGTGCTTGGCAATATTTGACTACGTAAGTTGTTCGATGACATGGAGAAGCATGTTTTGGTAAACTACAAGAAGGGTCTTTTTAACAAGATTCGCAACAAAAAAGTCTACAGCATAGGTCGATGGGACGCATTAATCGAGTGATGAAGGATATATGTTGGAGCGACGTGCTCCAGCTCATTGAGTTTGCGTCGAACAATGCTGTCAACAACATTTGCAGCGTATACAAACACCACCCTAGCGATCAGGGAGCCATAATTGGTCTTCATTGTCAGGTCGGCTAGTTTTGTCCAGCAAGAATTCTTTAATCGCTCTGACTCCGGACGAGGTCTGGAGCCAATGCGGTGACGAAAGGTCTCGAAACCTGAGCATAGTTTACTGTTTCTCGCCTCCTTGACGAGTGCTCAAGATTTTTAGCGCACATGGCACTCCTAGTTGGTGGGGTGAAAACCGTCAACATTTGTCGCTTCATGTTGGGAAACTTCTTCTACAGAGTAATCGCACGTAAATTCGTACTGTCTCTTCGCGTCAGGACTGCTACGCAACTCAATGATGTTTGACTACGACAATGACCGAATTCAATGCACAATATGTGAAAAAGTTGGATGGCGGCTGAGGCAGGCAAATCAGCAGTGCAGGGAAAAATAACGACCATTCGGAACGACAATCAACAAAAACTATAGGGCGAGTCAAAAAGCTTTTGGTGGTGATGTTGCGGAAGCTTGATGAACGCCAATGGACTAAGGTATTTAAAGACATTGTATGAAGCAATGTTCGATGCGAGTAACGATAAATGTGGATACTTTGTCATATAGATTCAACAGGCTTAAACCGAGCCATTGGTTGATGAGCCCATGTTGCCTGTAATGCTATCCTGATTCGCAACGCATAAGGTTCACAAAGACCGACCGAGAATTCTGACGTCGAAGGAACATGTGCAAAAGACGATGTGGTGAATCATTCTCAAATTGAGAGTACGCTTGTCGAGGTCATTGCTTACTCGAAAAATGTAGGGTGCATGCGGTAGATTACTGTGCGAATTGCACTTAAACGAACCACCGCAAGCCATTACCCATTTTTGTCAAAATTGAAATTGTCGAGCCGTTTTTACAGTTATCCGACAGCATAATTAGAAGCGGTGTACAAGTTCCGTGCCACAAGAGTGCAGGAGGTGGAGGCCTTACGACGACATGACCCCAGCCAAGCTAAAAAGTATCGTAACTCTACATTTATAGATATCCGTGCCTTTAGCTATGGGGACACTAGTGAAAGTGTCAATTCGTCAGTCGAAGCTTTCATTGGATATAGTGTGGATCGTTGCCTTGACCTAGCTCAATATTCGATAAACGATCTCATCCTAGGCATGCCGTGGCTGAACCGCGATGTGCCATCAATCAACCAGGAAACGAGGCAAAGCGTGCCAGGCACTTATCACCGAGCGGGACTTCGGTGAGTCATGGACCCATGCCTGCTAGAGAGCAGAAACACTTTTAAGCAGACTGAAGTTTCAATAGCTTTGGAGTAGATTTTTTTGAATTGCCAGAATTGTCTATTGAAGAATTGCTTAGTGTCTTGATCTAAGCTCGGATAGTACGAAACGCAATTTCATGGTAAGACTGAAAGTAGCAATCATGTATCGCGATCACCAGAGTTTATACTTGATAAGACCTTAATTCAGCTGTAAGCTAGAGTCCCCAGAGACAAGATCTGCCTGAGCAACTGTATGCCGCGGTGTTCTTCGCGCAATCCCGAAATCAGATCGGATAAGTAGGGTAACCTTACGGGCAAGAGCCGATTGAGACAGTTTCAAGTAAGTTGGACACTAGGAGAACCAGGCTCCCGAGTTTCCAAGAATGACAATGTACAAATGAGTCATCGCTACCGTGCGATGAGACCACCCTACGGAGCTGCAAATTGCTACCGATTAGTACTGATTTGATTGGGTTGGCCAGAGGATGAAGTCTTTACTCATTGCTCCGGGCAAAATGTCTTTCAAGATTGGGTAGGTTAGTCATACGGGATGTTTGCAACGAGCAGCAAACCCTTGAATCACATAGTTCGTACGATTAGTACCGAGAAAAAAGATGATTTATCATGCACATGAATTGGATGGACACTTGTATAGCTCATAGTGCGAGGAAAAGGCGTTTCACTTATAAGATTATACGAATAACTTTTGTTTTTTGGAGGAATATCATGACAGGGTGAGGAGGCATTCGCAGAGCGTGTTGACCCCCCAAACCAGCGACTGCGTCATGAAAATGACTTGAGTCATGGAACTAAATACCGCGTCAAACGATAATGGCCCTGGCTTAGGGGATGTTTCATGTAATAGACGCTTTGAACTGTACGAAAAACTGAATCTTACCAATCTGCACCGATTTTTTGTGCCAGGAAGGCGCTTTTGCATGCTTAACTAAAAGCAGCTTCTAATCTGGCGCAAACACCAGAACAGCAGATTTGGTTACAGCGCTCTTGGCGATAGAAAATGATTTAACTTGCTAGTGATATCCCTCTCACCGTGGTAATCAAGTCAAGCGGGATGTGGGGGGGTGCTACATGTGCAGAAAGCACTGTCTTACACACCAGCAACATTAAATCGTCAGGTGACAAAGCGGTTTGAACCACATCGTGCTCACGCCCAAACTTATAATGTCGACATATTCGTTCATTGTCGTGCAGCCGAATGTGGAGATCTACATCGAAAAGTTTGCGATTCGTTTAAGCGTTTGAATAGTCTGTTGCAGGTATTGACAAGTGTATCCTTGCAACAGCTGAATCTTCGTTTGGTATGATTTTTGATAAACATGGCCCGTGACAGTTAAGGCCATCGTGGAACAGCCAATGCCTCCGTCGTGAGAGGATTGAATATGATGGATAAAAAAAAACATGTGAACAAGTTATAGTGCAAATTACGACCCCACGCCAAAAATCTTCGAGCGATGTTAAATGGCGTCGGATTGCGGCAGAAAAGACAGCTTTCTCAGCTCAAAGGAGACCACATGTGCGCTCCTTTTTTCGCCTGATTCAGACTAATCTTTTTACGTCATTCCACGATAATTCGACTAATGGGCATGAATGTTTTATCGCGTTTGAGTATCGCCAGCTAACGATTTTTACGCTCTGGACAAGGAGCTAGTCCAGGTGAGGGTATTCCTGCTCAGATCTATGCTTTCTGTGTGGATTAATACTCCATGTGTTGTTGCGCGCCGCATCATCATCGCCATATTTCTTTGAAGGATAGCAAAACGACTCGAGTATATATTCGGTAAGTCATTGGCCAAATCGGCGTAATGTGGTTACGAAATAGCTTTCACATAGCCACTGGCGCATGTCATAATGACGTTGCTGCATTGATGAGGCAACAAGTACAGCGTACAGGCCAAACGTAACATGTGTTGGTGAAAGCTCTGAGGCTGGCTGCAAAACAAGTATCGTGTCGAGTGCATCGAGTAGTTTTTTGTAGGCTCCCATTCAATGACTTAGAGTTTATTATTGAGGCTTGTTCATTCGTCGTCGTAAATGGCAGCGAGATGTCATATTGATTGTCATTAATGCATCTTTTCTGTTAGAATATCGTACTACAACTTTTGAGCCAGAATTACTCTATTTGATATTTGCTAAGCTGTATGTCCCGATACTATCTCAATGGAGTCGTCGAATATGCACCTGATGAGGATCTCACACATTTACGTAGAAGAATGAGAGACTAGCTCACTGTAATTTTGAGTTACTATTAGGTGACAAATTCTAGTAAATACACATATTTTGTACCAGCTTATTCAATCGTAAAACCAGTAACTTCCATTTGAATCACGAGGGATAGCGCAATGCGCAAGTCCTTTTCGACGCTATATCGTGGCAAATCGATGCTATAATTGACAAAAATTATTATCAGATAACATATCAGCAAATGCATCCAAGATGCGAGCGTACCGATTGAAGCATGTGTGGGCTCGCGGATATAAGCACTCATCCGCGTTTACACATTGGATCGCAAAAGGACAAATGCGTCCGTCATTCATGGTTAGTGCCTTAAAGCCTTGCACAGGTACCCGAGCTGAACCAGTTGTAAATTGAAGCAAACGTGCTTTCTGCTCATTCGAAAATTCATGTACACAATTCCAAAACCACGTGATAACACGCTCATCGCGCTCCCCCACATATGTAGTGTGAGTTTTCCAGTCTTGAACGTCGATGTCGGGAATGCCACATATAAGGAGTTCTAACTCTTGATGATCAAAGACAGAGAGCAGCTCCACAGGAATTATAGAAAAAAGTCCTTGCATTATTGAGCCAAGTTGCTGGGAAATGCTGGTTGCAACGACCCACTTGAAGCGCAAGGTTATGTACTCCATCTTGTTGTCATCAGTAACAGGAATGTCGGAACCGTTTGGTAACAAGTCTACCACCTTCATTTTGTCCGGCATTTGGTCGACATTAACCCTACAGAACACATTAGCTTTTTGGAAATATCCTCTGATTCATAAAAGAGTAGACCTACGTAAAATCAAGGGCCAACGATTCCACGCCAGTATTGTCTCGCAACCATTTAAGATTTTTGTATAAGTCATTATCCACGAATTGAAGGTCCGAAAAAGTAATGGGAACACCGAGAATATGCTTACACACCGGAATTGCTAAGTGCGCATCGATGAGAATCCCTTCAAAAAGCGCTCGTCCGATGAAGCGACCAATAGCTTGAAAATACTACATATGGTCGAGAAAGCGAAGTAACATGAGTAAACAACAGTGCATTAAGTCGATAAACAAGCGTAAGCTTACCATCAGGTGGTCGACACTAGCTTCAGCGGAGGCGGGGTTGATCATGAGACCATCACCATTTCCACTTCTGCAAAACAGACCCGTCGCATCGTCAAATACTTCTTTTGTCATTAAAGTAAACCACTCGCGCACCAAACCACCTGCATCCACTCCCGGTTCATTAGCAAATTTTATCCGAAGCGATTGGTGCAACTGAGCTGGAGTCGCCCATAATAATTGCTCGCACGAATTGTGAAGTAAATTATCCCGTTCAATTTCAAGCAATAAGTGTCCGTATTCCCAAGGAACCTCCATTGCAGCAGTGTGCTGAACAAACCATGCGTGTTTTTGCTGAAATGGAAGCGATGCGACCTGCCCCAATTCATCTTGCGAGAACTCCGAACTGTCGGAGCAGCGAAAGGCTCGAGCACCTTCGGCCGTCTCAAGAGACAATCGACCCGTCGGGTTCTTAGGCGATATTACAATCTTCGACACTATACCGACCGAATTTACACTTCCGTTTGATAGGATCGAGTCGCGCAAAGACACTGACGATTGGCTCCGCAAACTGTCCATATTTCGAAGAGTTTTAAGTGCCTTGCGGTCCATAAAATATTTTTTTCTAACCCAGACCAATTCTCCGTCGTCGTTACGTTCGCGCGACCACTCGTGTCGACGCCGCGCCGATTGCTGCCGAAGATTAAGTGCACTAAGCTTCCGCTTAAACATTTCACGATTCGACCTAGCCATTGACTTAGACCCAATAGGAGGACCCCGGTTTACTGCACTACGAGTCATCGCATTTTCCTTTTCTTCCATATAAAGCATATATTTGGCATTAGAGGCAGATGACGGCATGTTGCTGTGTTCACTGCCAGACCCACTTGCTAATCTATTTGTATTTTCGATCAATCGAAAAGAGCGATCAGTGCCACAAAGCATGCAAGTGTTATGAGCATCGTAGCTCTTAAAAGAACAGACATCACATTCCCACAAATTATTCATGTCTTGGTCACTGGCAATCACATCCTGTCGTAGCATGGTCTCAGGCAATGCCTGTTGCCGTAAGAAATTGGCTTCCATTTTGTGTTTAAAGAAGATGTTGTATATTAGGCACGTAAGCAGCATGGCGCCGATCACGAAGTAGAACATGAAGTTATAGCTATCAGAGGAATCGACCAGGCGGCGCGAATAATTGTGTTCCATGAACGCACCCACAAAGATTCGGGCCACGCCCTCCTCGCTAAGAAACATGAGGATCACCGCTGTCATGACCTTTGAATTATAAACTCTCGCACCATCTCGCCACCAGAACGCGCGCATAATTGTTAAGAAGACCGTACTACTACACTCAAACACTCACAACGCTCGCCACACCAAGCACTTGACGCGCGATGGAAGACGTATTACCTGGGTAATGCAGCAATAGTTGCAGGCTTGAGGTTTCTTCTGCCCTTGTCGCTGCGCTCGGGAGCCGGTTTTGACCTCCACCGCAGTCTCTGTGTAAGAATAATTAGAAATGTTGCTTAAAAGGAAGTGACACGAAATTTGTGCATGAGTAATCAGTACATTGAGTTAGGGCTGTGATAAAACACGCATACTATCCATCCAAGTGGGCATAGAATTGAATATGAATGGAACGCAAAGCAGTGCCTTCTCACTAGGCGCGCTCGCCACATCAGCGGCGAAATTTATCGCGCCCAACAGTTTGCAGTACAATGAGCATGAGTTTCAACGGTAATGTGTATGGCAAGAATCATAAGCCGTGCGAGTTTAAGGCTGATGCGCTGGCAGATCGCCGAAGGATGCGCAAGATGCAGCGCGAGAAGCAGCCAGGCTCGTTCAGCCAGGTATATAGAGTGAAAATTAACTTAGATTGGAGGCAAATGAATATTTTCTCGTGACATGCGTTTTCAAGGCGACCTGATTTTCATGACCACGAGCGGACTGGTATATTCGTTGGGGAGATCTCTTACTGATAACGCATACGACCATGTGGTACACATTCGATCTCGTTGGTGGCATTAGTAAATGCGCAAATTGACTGTATCTATTGCAGGTAGTTGTGCTGGATGAATGTACGGTGCTCCATGTGGGGATGCCATCTGTAAAGTTGATGCCTTTGGAGCGCCTATTGCTTCCTCAAAGACAGCCTGTGGTGGGTCTCAAAATCCGGCAAGTTAATTTGTCGAACTTTGAGCGATAAATGATATTTTTAAAGGTTCAACGCGTCCAAATGTTAAAAGAGGAATTACAATTATTTCTTCGATGTGCGAGACAATTGGTCGGCTGCAAATATGATGGTGCGAGGTGGGTGCGGAAATCTAGATTAAATCTTTTTTAGATGACAATCCAGGCATGTCTGCTAGGGCATACAAGTTGATGCTTCGGCTGATTCTAAAGCGCATGTTTGGTATAGCACCTTTACCACGATTGCCCCTTGACGTTAAAAGCAACGCCTGGATCTGCAGCGATTCTATCATGTATGGATCTTGACAGCCGTCTATACATGCTGATGAGGTTTTTAATTTGCTTTTTTAATAAAAGTGTCTTGCTAGCAGGTTGCTGCAAGAGATTCCGAGAGTCATTGATGAAGGCGAAGCAGGAAACTAAGCTGGGTTTGTTTTTGTCCTTACGCTGTTCATTCTTCCACATCTCAAATCGTGATCGATACATTAGACATATTCACGCTTGGTAGTGCGTCGCTGGCTGATTTTGAACGTCTCCACCGCGTGCAGCCTGACATCATCTCTCGTGTACCGCTGCCAGTTGTCAACTACACTCTTGTGCCGCGCAAGTGCTCGTGGCAGGCGTACATTCCGGAGGTCATTCGATTTGCACAAAGTGTGCACGACAGAAATTGGCCTTTGCTGGCGCCGCGAATATTTTCCGAAGTGCGAGCGATTGCAGCCAGCCTACCGCCGAAGTCATGGCTTCTAGAGGAGAAAGTTCAAGTTCTGGGCTACGTGGTGGTGCTTCTCTTTTTGCTCCGACGAGGTATTACTGTTAAGCGAGTACTGATGCGGGCTATCGAAGTTCTTATGTTGCGGTACGTTGCACACCATGTCGTGCTTTACGTACCGTCATTTTCCGCTTTTGGCACCGCCAAATTATAAAACTTCGTAATTTTTACAAATAGACATGATCTTTCATTTTTGTTGAAATTTGGTGGAATTTCGACAGAGGAACATGGCGACAGCAGCACAGTTGGCTGGCGCAATTCCAGCGGGTGGTTTATGTCTGCTCGTGATTGACCAGCAGGTCGACTTTCATCCTGGCGGCTCGCTTGCGATATCGACGGCCTACAAAGATGCGGAACGCATCGCGGCGTTCATTCGCGAGCACGCTTCTCGGCTTAAGCAGCTCGTCTTCACACTAGACTCGCATCAACGCTACCACATTGCCCACGGAATTTTCTGGCAGGATGCAGATGGAGAATCGCCCAAGCCGTTTACTCATATCTCATCCAATGATGTCGCATCAGGTGTGTGGACGCCACGTGACCCAAAGCTAAAGCATTACGTACTCGCCTACACTACGGCGCTCGAGGCTAGCGGAAAATTCACGCTATGCATTTGGCCTGAGCACTGCCTAATTGGCTCGCCTGGTCATAATATCGTGCCAAATGTGCTTTCAGCGGCGATGGAATGGACTCAGATGTCGCGTATGCCCGTGCAGTTCGTAATGAAAGGCAGCAACTCTTTTACGGAACACTACTCGGCACTTAAAGCGGAGTTTGAGCTGCCGCATGATCCCACAACAAGGTAGACTGTGACTCCATATGTTAAACAGGAGCGATTGCTTTGGGCATAATGCTCAAAGTGCATGATGTTGCTATTGGTGCGCAATATGTCTAGGTTGAATCAGGCTCTGATTGACACATTGAAGCTTGCTGACAAAGTGATTGTTTGTGGGGAGGCAATCTCCCACTGCGTTAACTACACTGTTCGCGACTTGGTCGCCGTGTGGCCTAAGGAGCGACGCCATGACTTAGTAATATTGACTGACTGCTCGTCCCCCGTACCAGGTTTTGAAAAGGATGGCGAGGTATGATGACTTTGATATGCCGCTCGCTAATGACGAATTTGATTAACTGGAATATTCTTTAGGATTTTTTGAGTGATATGGCCGCAAAGGGACTTACCCTCATTTCTTCGGACAAATTCACGCTGTAAAATTTCGAATTACTCCCTGGCCTAATGTTTGATGCAAACCTGTAAGCTGAAGCCAATTATTTTTTTTTTGCCATCGACTTGGCAATGAAGATCAATTCAAACCAATTTATAGCTATCAGCTTCACTCGTTGACAAGAAAAATAATTCATGTCAATTAAAAATGCAGATGTTTAGTCAATCAATTACATACGTGGCACAAGATAGCAAACCTTTCAGAATCGCAGGAAAGAGTATGTAAGCGCGCTTAAGTCCCAACAACCGTTAATAATATGTGCCTAAACAAGTCAGTTGCAACACTTTCTGACTGTTCAGGATAATTAACCTCTATATAGGTTATTAATACTAAGAAATTTACATCGCGATGCTACCGTATTTTTAGCTTCATAAATTGCAAACAATTGCTTGCCAAATATCTAAGCGCGCTTAAACATTTTAAATCCCCCCTAAAACGCTTGGATTTAAGTTAAGATATTTTTCGCCCCCAGGGGGAGTCGCGCGGCTAATCGCAAACGTGAAACGGAGGAAAAAGTAAAGGATCTAGTTGAGTGAGAGAGTTTGCCTGTCTCCTTCGCTGATCCCAGACGACACTTTCAGATATATCAAACCGGGAAGCAAACCGTAGAAAATCGAGGCACGATGGCGCAAGATCTCCCCATTACCTTCGGGGAAGTGTTTAATGTACGTTTTAGCGCGAAGATGCATGCCTTTTTATATCAATTAAAAGATAAGATAGTGAGTGCACATTGCACAACAGAAGACTGATTAAGTGTGACTGAATGTAGTTGAGCACGCTAGGGGTGAATTTAGACTATGTCAAGTTTGGTACCACGACGATGGAGTCGGATAAGTTTGTATGCGTGTGCGAACAAGTAAATGGCCAAGCCAGTGTCGTGATCGTAGACATGGCGGCAGGTAATACGGTGCAGCGCCGTCCTATTAATGCTGAGGCAGCTATTATGAACCCCGTGAGCAAGGTTATCGCCTTGCGCGCAGAAAATCAGCTACAGATTTTCAATATGGAGCTGCGTGCGAAAATGAAGAGTCACCTTATGAACGAAGCTGTGGTCTTTTGGCGATGGATCTCGGTCAATACTATTGCGCTGGTTACGGCTTCTGCTGTGTATCACTGGAGTATTGAGGGTGACTCTCCTCCGGCCAAAGTGTTTGACCGTCACGCCAACCTCGGCGTAGGTACACAGATTATTAGCTACGAGGCCTCGGTTGATAACCAGTGGATGCTTCTGGTCGGCATTTCGCAAGGAGAAGGCGGCCGGATTGTTGGAAATATGCAGCTTTTCTGGATGGAGAAAAAAGTCAGCCAGGTGTTGCAAGGCTACGCAGGTGCATTTGCCCAGATGAAGCCTCCTGGAAGAAATGATGATGCGCAGGTTCTCGTGTTTGCCGGTACAAAGGGAAGTGGGGAGCCGTTGCAGCTTTTTATAATGGAAGTTGGACGTGATCGTGATGCACCTGGTGACACATTTCGCCTTCCGCCGTCTCCAATTCCATTTGCAGCTGATGCGCAGGCTGATTTTCCTGTATCAATGATAGTGAGCCCTCATGATGATATTGTTTACATGATTACGAAAATGGGGTATCTCTTTCTTTTCGATGCGCACTCTGGAAAGCCTGTGTATCGTGCTCGAGTGTCTCAAGACACTACATTCGTGACATGTTTGGAGTCCAACTCGAAAGGTATGCTCGGAATCACGAGGCGTGGTCAGCTTCTACATTTTGCGATCAACAAGACTAAACTCGTGCCGTACGTGGTAAACACTTTACGTGATTCCCAGCTGGCTCTATCGCTAGCTACGCGTTTAGACCTGCCTGGGGCTGAAGAGCTTTACTTTACTGAGTTCAATCGTCTCGTAAGTGTCAATGATATCCAAGGTGCGGCACGACTTGCGGCTGCTTCTCCACAGGGTGCTTTGCGAACTCCCCAGACGATTCAACGCTTTCAGAATATGCCCGCACAACCTGGTCAGCCTCAGCCTATTCTGCAGTACTTCAGTGTTCTTCTCGAAAAAGGTACTTTAAACAAGATGGAGGCTATTGAGCTGGCTCGCCCTGTGCTAATGCAGGGTCGTGGCCAACTTCTTCAGAAGTGGTTGTCGGAAGACAAACTTGAGTGCTCAGAGGAGCTAGGTGATCTTGTCGCTCAGTCTGACACTACGATGGCTCTTTCAGTGTATTTGCGCGCTGAGGTGCCGGAAAAGGTGATAAATTGCTTTGTGCAACGCGGCGAATTTGATAAGATAGTGGCTTACGCAGTGCAGACCAACTACCGTTGTGATTACACATTTATGCTCCAGAACTTGGTACGTGCAAACCCACAAGGTGCTCTAGACTTTGCTCAGAAGCTCGCAGTCGCAGAGAACGGTCCTCTCGTAGATGTCAATGCAGTGGTCGACATTTTTATGCAAGTAAACCGCATTCAAGAGACGACTGCGTTTCTTTTGGAGGCCTTGAAGAATAATCGTCCTGAGGAGGGCTACCTGCAGACCCGATTGCTGGAAATTAACCTTCTTGGAGGTTCGCCTCAGGTGGCTGATGCTATTTTATCAAACAACATGTTCACGCACTATGATAGACCGCGTATTGCATCTCTGTGCGAAAAGGCTGGTCTATTCCAGCGCGCCTTGGAGCACTACACGGAGCTTGCAGATCTAAAGCGCGTTATTGTTAATACTCAAGCAATAAATCATGAGTTCATTGTGACATTTTTTGGTACGCTGACGAGTGAGGTCTCGATGGAGCTGATTAACGCGCTCATGGCTCACAACATGCGCCAGAACTTGCAGATAGTGGTACAGGTTGCCACCAAGTATGCTGAACAATTGGGCGGCAAGGAGCTTGTTGAGGTGTTCGAGAAGTTTAAATCATTTGACGGCTTGTACTTTTTCTTAGGGTCCATTGTCAATTTTTCTCAAGACCCGGATCTCCACTTTAAATACATCGAGGCAGCCACAAAGATGGGTCAATTTAAAGAGGTTGAACGTGTTTGCCGTGACTCGTCTGTCTACGATCCCGTTAGAGTAAAGGAATTTTTAAAGGAGTCGAAGCTTCAAGACCCTCGCCCACTCATTCATGTGTGCGACCGTTACGATTTCGTGGAGGAATTGACGCAGTACTTATACTCGAACAATCTCATGAAGTACATTGACGTGTATGTGACTAAGGTTAGCCCACAGAAGGCTCCTATCGTAATTGGCAAGCTGCTGGATTTGGACTGTAACGAAGATTATATTAAAAATCTGCTAAACCAAGTCGCTCAATGCCCTGTAGACGACTTGTGTGAACAGGTTGAGAAACGGAATCGCCTGCGTCTACTCCAGCCGTGGCTTGAGACTCGTGTTGCCCAGGGCAATACTGAAACGGCAACGCACAATGCAATTGGTAAGATTTACATCACGCTTAACAAGGACCCGCAACAATTTTTAATCAACAACCAATTTTACGATTCCGAGATTGTGGGCAAGTTTTGCGAAAAGCTGGATCCTGCGCTTGCTTACTTGGCTTATCGTCGTGCCGGTGGTGCCTGTGATGAAGATCTCGTTCGCGTCACCACGGAAAACGGCTTGTTCAAGGATCTTGCTCGCTATTTGGTGGAGCGTCAGGACCTTGAACTATGGGGAAAGGTTCTTGTGAAGCAGGAGGAAGGTGAGCCCGAGTCCCCAAGTCGTCGAGCATTGATTGACCAGGTTGTGCAGACGGCCCTTCCCGAGACTACCAATCCTGATGAAGTTTCGACGACTGTGCGCGCGTTTATGAATGCCGAGCTACCGAATGAGCTGATTGAGTTGCTAGAACGTATCGTGCTGCAGGGCACTGACTTCTCAACTAACAAAAATTTGCAGAATCTGCTGATTTTAACTGCCATAAAGGCCGGCAAGGAAAAAGTCATGGACTACGTTAACCGTTTGGACAATTTCGACGGTCCAGAAATTGCTCGCATTGCCGTTGGGGAGCAGTATCAACTTTACGAAGAGGGGTTTGTCATTTACAAGAAGACTAATCACAACGTTGATGCCATTGGCGTCTTGTTGGATTACATTAAGGACAACGAGCGTGCTTACGAGTTCGCTGACCGCTGTAACGAGCCTGAGGTGTGGTCTCGCCTCGCCAAGGCCCAGCTGGACCAGGGCAAAGTTCATGATTCACTGTCAGCATTTATCAAGGCCAACGACGCCAGCTCGTATGTGGATGTGATTGCGGCAGCTGAGCGTATCGGTAACTACAATGAGCTGATTCCTTATCTTAAAATGGCACGCAACACGGTGAAGGAGCAATTTTTGGACACATCACTCATTTACGCTTACGCTAAAACCGAGAAGTACGGCGACCTGGAAGAGTTTATCTCGTCGCCTAATGTTGCTCAAATTCAGAATATTGGCGAGCGGTGTTACAATGAAGGAATGTACAATGCGGCCAAGTTGTTGTTTCAAAACATCAACAACAATGCTAAGCTCGCAATTTGCTACGTGCGTCTTGGAAAGTTTCGTGAGGCCGTAGATGCAGCCACCAAGGCGAATTCTGTGGGCACGTGGAAGGAAGTTAACTATGCCTGTGTTGATGTTAACGAGTTTCGTCTTGCCGGCTTGTGTGGCCTACACATTATCGTTCACCCGGACCATCTCGAGGAGCTAATTTTGCACTATGAGAAGCGTGGTCATTCGGCCGAGCTGCTAAAGCTGATGGAACAAGGTCTTGGTTTGGAGGGTGCTCACGCCGGCATTTTTACAGAGCTTGCTATTTTATATTCGAAATACTTGCCGTCCAAATTGATGGAGCATATTAAAATTTTTCACTCGCGGATGAACGTTTCAAAAATTTTGCGTGCTTGTGAGAAGGGTCTACACTGGGATCATGCCGTTTACCTATACAAGGAAGACGGTCAGTTCGACAATGCTGTCCGAACGATGGTGGATCATCCAGTGGCGTTCTCGCACGACTTGTTCTTGGATTGCATACAAAAAGTTCGCAATCAGGAAATTCATTACAAAGCAATTAACTTTTACCTAGAGCAGCATCCGTTGGAGCTCACCCGTTTGCTCCAAGTACTTACACCTAACCTGGACCACGCCCGTGTCGTCCACCAGCTACGCAAATCAAAGAACCTGCCGCTCGTAGCTGAGTACTTAAAGGATGTACAAAAGGAAAACTTGTCGGCAGTAAACGAGGCTTTGAATGAAATTTTGGTTGACGATGAGGACTACCAGGCGCTTCGCGATTCTGTGGACGCTTACGAGAACTTTGACCAGATCTCACTTGCGCAAAAACTGGAGAAACACGAACTTCTGGAGTTTCGCCGAATTGCAGCTTATCTGTACCGCAAAAACAAGCGTTATTCACAGGCCGTGAAGCTGTCGAAGGCAGACAAAATGTACAAAGACTGTATTGATTGTGCTAGTGACTCGGAGGATTCTGAACTCGCTGAGGACATTTTGCGTTTCTTCGTGTCTGTGCACGACAAAGAGTGCTTTTGTGCTACTTTGTTTACGTGCTACAAGCTGATTAAGCCTGATGTTGCGTTAGAGTTGGCGTGGCGCCACGGTTATGTCGATTTTGTCATGCCCTACATGATTCAATTTGTTAAGAATCTAAATGATAAAGTCAAATTGCTTGATGAACGCACGCAGACGCAACAGGAGCCAGAGACGGATGCGCAGACTCTAGACCCGGCTTACGGTATGGTTGGCATGCAACCGATGTTAGCCATTGCTCCTACGGCGTATAACGATCCATCGGTTCAATATGGTATGGGCATGGCTTCAGGTATGAATATGGGCATGGGTATGCAGCCAAACATGGCTATGGGTGGCATGCAGCAAAATCCGTACTCTAGCAGTCAAGGTAGTATGGGCAGCAACCCGTACGGCAATAGTGGTTATCAGTATTAAGTGTGTCGTAGCTGACATTTACGTCGCTTTGCCGAGCTTATCCTGAAGAGTTATGATTCAAGACCAAATAAAGCGCTATGCTTCGCTTGTCAAGGTGTTCTTCGATTATTAGAGAATTTGAGCGGCTACATTGACACCAAAATCAATCTGACTTTCACGCTAACACTAGTAATCTCAAACTCTTTTTTTTTCCTTATCGTCATAACATGACTACGCTTCTGTTGTGAATACTGAATTTGAAAATATTATAAAAAGTACCAATCATTTGATCGAGCGATGAATGATGCTTTAGCGTCATTAGACCGCGGCGTGCAAACGCTTTTTACAGATCCCGGACTTGCTCTATCCGCTACTGTTTCCCATCCTCTATGCGATTGTATGTTGCAGCAGCCTCCACTCCCCGATTGGCGCCACTTAGCGCGTTTTCCAGTGCTCAAGCGTCACGTATTGACCAAATTTCGTTCTGTGGCAGTCGAGATGGCAAAGGTACCACAAACACCGCGCAAGCGTAGAAAGCGGAGCATTGCACAGCAAAGTGGAGATGTTGATGAGTATAAAACACTTTGCCTTGCTTCTCTTTGTCAGAACTTGGTTCAATGTAAATTATTGATAATTGATGAGGCCGAGTTGGTGGAAAGTGTAGTAAAACTCGAGTCGTTCGATATTCTACGGCGCGTTATTGGCAGCAGATTACTACCTATCAGGAAGCGAATGTTACTACTATCATTTGCATTGCAGGAGCAGAGAACAAAGTGTTTGGAGTCTGCTGTGCAGAACTGGATTCAGAAGGTCAGCGAGAAATTACTCGAGGAAATTCTGGAGGCCACAGCTACGAGTGGGTCCGGAGAGCCTCCAACGAATCGAGTGAGGACAAGGTCAAAAAATAATGGGATGCAGGAAAAAGGAAGAATACAACAATACTGTGAATTTTGCCAACATGGGGATAGTACTGCGTTCTTGAAATCAAAATGTCGAGATTGGGATCTACTGGTAAAGTGTACGCGAGAAATTGCAGAGATGTTGGAAAAAAGTGGGGAAAGATTCGTAAGTAATAAGGCGATGATTGTGCTGTCGGCGTTCTGGGATTCTAGCCCAGTTGCCGGATTATCGACAGATAGAAAGATAGAAAAAAGGCAAAAAAGGTTCAAGTATTTTGTGAAGTGCGATAATGTTGACATACCATCGATATCCGTGGTGACCTTCAAACAGATTTGTCAGCAAACAATAACAATACCGAGCGCCGAAATTCCAAAGTTTATGACTGATCATTTTCAGAAGATGTGGACGGTCAGTTGGGAGCGAGAAGTAGAAAGTGTAGTCAAAGCGGGGCAAATAATCATGGTTGACGTCATCTGTCAGTGCTCAAAGGCAGATGCCTTCGCTGGTGCTGCACTGTTGTCGGAAGGAAAGCAAAGAATCACGCAATTTACAGGTTTTCGCATTGTGAGCGAGGTGATTCGCGTCACAGGTGTAAGTATTTCAGAGATAATTGCTTCGTTTGCAATTATCTGGAAAGTTCGTTGTAGCGGTGTACATATGCAAGTAGCTGCGCCTCGCAATGTAGTAACTTCCACAACGAAGCAGATACTACGGTCATATTTAAGTGAAATACTACTATCTGCAAAGGTGCGGTTCGAAATGGGACCATACTCACCACTCGGCCTCCTTTTTGTCTTGTATAAGATTTATGCCATGCTTGACCACGGAAGGATACAGAACAAAAGTTATATCAAGCATTGGGATGCCTTGATGTCTCAGCAAAAAAATGAGACCTCAACTCCGATTTCAAACCAGGATGGAAAAAACTGGTGCCTATTTCTTGAAAAATGTGTGCTGGATGTTCAAACCGACAGTTCCGTGGCAATGCATGGCCGCGACCACTTTTTGCAAGCATTTAAGAACTACTGTCGTACTATCATGTATACTGTCATTGCAACGGGTGGCAGGGTTATATCAAGTGGAGGTGTGATCCGACAGAATTTATTAAGTGAGGAAGGTGGTTGCTTCACAGTTCGAAAACTGCTAGCACAGATGTTAACAACCTTTGATGAAGAATGGGTTTCCAGCCTTATTGCACAGATCCTGCGAGCGCGCACACAGCTTCGCTTCTCTGGTGAGAACGACCAACAAGGTATAAAAACTTTGTTGTTTCCAGGGCTTTTTGCAGGCTTGAAGTCAACCAGTCGATCCAACCCGAAGAAACTAAACACTGGACAGCAATTATTTACTAAGATTATCCATGCTGTTAACGCCATTTTAAAGGAAAGTGAGTCATCTCCTTTGTATCTTGTTGCATTGATGCAATTTTGCGAGGCATGGGATGTTTATCAAAGTACTCATACAGAAGAACCTTCATCAAAAGCAAACCGATGGGGTTTTAAGGCCATGGTGGATTTAGATATGCTTCCTGAGCTACTTATCTGTTACGATAAGGTTGAAGTGTTGTGCCAAGAACCCAGAGATGCACTTAACTTTGCAGCCGAAGTACTACAAAATGTCCCAAACTGTCCACCGACACTAGAAGAGAACCTTTTAAAAGTGCTTTCTAAAGTCAAAACTGGTGTAGAGCGTGAGAATACATTCATTGCATGTCCACAGGATGCACAACTTGTCTCGCATTCCAGTGCTGTACTTCAGCGTTTCCTTTGCGCGGTGAGGTCAGCAGACATAGCGCAGACTCGAATGATAATAAGCAACATAAAAGATATGGCGCAGCCACTGGGCGAGTTAAGGCAACAACTAGAGCAGTGGTTCTCATTTGTTAAAATGTATGGCACATCTTTTGCGGGCAAGGAATCGCGATTCGAGCTATCACTATTGTGTACACGGCTAATTCGATGGTATCCCGATGAGTTTGGTAGCATGCGCTTTGTGTTTATGTCCCCACTTGATTCCCACTTCGTTTTTACATTAAAGACGTTTATAAAAGAGGCTGCAAGAGTCAACACGATGAATAGTCCTTCTGTGAAGACTGCACCGCTACCATCGGCAGTTCGAGTCGACATGGCATTGCATCTTTATTTGACAACAGCAGCATTTCCCGATCTCGAAACCTTAACTGTCCTTCTGACAAAAGCAATGATAAAGTGTCGTTCTCCTGAGGCATTTGGTGATCTGGCAAATATTGTACTTAAGCATGGCCGCGTGTTATTAATTGAAGCCGCCGTGGCAACACTTAGCCCCCCACTTCGGGGTTTGAGCTTCTCCGATCCTGCTTGCATTCAGAACGACGGCTGGGACAAAGATAAGAGGCTCGAGAATTTTAACAGACGCTCCAAGTCTTGGATCTACCAGCGAAATACTTTACAGATCCTGGCAGACTCTGCTTCAATCTTCAGTAAAAAAATTGCGTGGTCAGTTTCGCTATTTGACGAGACAACTTCTACAACTTGGCTTCCTTTTTTCCTCGATTACATCTTAAAGACCGAGTTTTGTGAAAGCACACTACGAGTTGACATGCTTTTGACAACATTAGAAAAGCTAATGTTAAGCGATGGAGAGCAAGAACTTCGTCAGGCATATTGGCTTGCTGCACTGCTCAACACAGCTCTGATTGCGTGTTCCAGTCGAAGTGCTGGTTCCTACGTGAAGTTAGACGTGGACCTTCGCGATAGGTTACGGCGAAGTACTGAAAAGATCTCACAGCTACAAGCAATCGCTTCTACAACAATGGAAATAGATTGCAATAATTGCGACACTTTCGCTCTGTCTGGCAACAAGGTGATAGGCTTGATCGATTTTTCCAGACGTGCAAGACTGTCCATTGAGGAATATGGAGGGTCGTGGATCTGTGAGCATCAAATTGAAGAGAACTTGTGTACGACTTTGCAAATAAATTTGTCAGACGTTTATGAAGCTAGGATGGAGGATCCTTCCGCAATGGTGATACAGCCTTCTATCCAATATTTTCTACCCTTCGTGCACTGGTTGTCGGCAGCGTTGATTTACTCCCAGTCGTTCCTGGACGAGCCATCACCCTTGATAAGACGATGGGAGCGCACGTTTACGTGTTATGTGACGGACGTGTATTTGCACGTCGAATTTACAGGCATCACGTCTGACCTCCTTAAGGCGTGGCTCACAACATGGTTAAATTTCAATTTTGCTCGAGGTCAAGATGATCAGCAGCTTCTGGCCCTACTTCCTTCTCAAGTTGCTTTGTTTCGTCGTTTGGGATTAATTCCGTCTCGCTCTAGACCTCAAAGTCAAGACTCAACTTCGATTTGGCAATTGATTTTAGCTGCTATTACTCTTGCATTGAATCAAGACAGAGCCATGACTAAAAAGGAGCTTGAACAAGCTGCAGAAGTTGTTGTCAGTACGTTGACGACGCTGGAACTCACTGAACTATCTGCATTCTCGGACTATACGATACTTCGCGACATCGAGCCATTTTTTACAGAGCTAAAGAATATTTTATTAAGACCACAGCTTCGTGACTGGAATATTGATCCATTGTGTTGTCTGCTGCAGTATCCACTGGAGGTACTTGTTTGCTGCTATGCGTGCAAGATCCCAGCAGACTCTGTAGTGGAGTCGCAATTGTTTCTTGAACGTACTAAAGCAGTCCTACAAGCTACCAGTATCACTGATAAAGACGCGTCGTCTAAAAGAGCGACCGAGATGAATGCAATTCTTCAGTACTGGGCAGATGAAATGCTCCTCAAATACGACTATGTCAATCGATCGCGATGCGTTCATATTCTAGAAGTCATTCAACTATCGCTTAGATTTTAAATGGAAATGAAGTGACTAGCTCCATCATAATTTTCTTTCTACTGCTGCCTCTGGTGCTGCATCTCTTGTTGCTTGATCCTATCTCGCTTGATGTCGTTGATCACGCCTTGGCGCATTACCTACAATAACAAGTCAGCAAGAGCATTGATCAGATCCAGCACTAGATTCGTTATACACCTTTTTCTCAGCGATCTGCTGGTGATGCGCATAATATACAGCGTAAGACGCACCTGCACACAAGCTACTGAACACCAATATTGGTGCCTTATCTTGAAGGACCCTTTTGAGCCTCGACATATCACGATGGCGCTTATTTATTATTAAGTACGACAACCTGTTGGGCAATATTAGCACACAAAACGACGAGAATATATGAGGCTTACTAGGCAGGTTGCTACTGTGAAACCATGTATATTGGGCCATGGCAGGAGTATCGGCTGGCCAAGATACAAGATGATGTACGTCAGAGACTGCGCCATGATTGTGATGCCCAGTTCCAAGGAAAAGTACCATCAGAGGACGATGGTCGGATTCGAGAGCTCATACAGCCATTTGTGGCGAGGTTTCCTCCATTAATAGTATCTGCTAAGGCAAGAAGTGGTTCGAACATTGAAGTGAGGAATCGACATTGCGTCAGATCGCATGGTAGCTTGACATCGGGATCCACCAATCGATGCTCAAGTCGACCAGTGTCGGCTGTATCGAGCACCTCTAGTGCATTACTACGAACTGGTTCTGGTAATGCGAAGAATACTGATGTTCAATATCGACACACTAACCAGAGTTCGCATGAACTGATCCAAGCAAGAACACCACGAAAGCCTCCAAGGTCAAAGAAGACAGGCAAAAAGGCACCACTAACGGCTTTGGAACAAGTGCAGAAGCGCAAGAAAATGTTTGCAATGTGGATCAAACAAGCTGGAAATGGCAATAATGACGCACAAAGAGATGAAACGCAAAGTGGTGTTCCAAAAGCGAAGGAAGACATGACACCTAGAACTCGATTGCCACCCATCCACTCGGTTGCTTCTGTTTGTGCAGAGCTTAGAGTGCCTAAAGTTTTGTATCTCTCAGCACTACCAACTCCAAATAGACGTGGTATTACGACAGACGCGTCAATGGATCAAGAGCTATCTCATCAAACAACTTCTTTGCCGTATTCAATATCTGCATCTAATCCAGCTGCCGCTGTGGACCTGGACGAATCGGTAGATGAGGAGGAAGTCAACAACTTACTTAACTGGACAGATACCCTTCTCTCTCCTCAAGCCTTGGACTCGCCCTGCGATTTCTTTGATGTTTAAAATGCTACGTGTCCATAGTCATTTATAAATTGTTGATTGGCCCGCATCTTCCTCCACTTTACTCACTTACCCTGCAACTCTGATAAATTTCTCAGTCACATGGCCTATGTTGCTTCGGCGGCCGAGGACTTGAGTCTCCATCTACGTTCTCGCGTTTACCAGAAGTCTACATTGCAATTATCAATAACATTATCATATTGCACAATCCTTTTCTACCTACTTTAAGATTCGCAACTTGATTATGATCCTTTATGACACTGTGCGTGGACGTCAACATTATCACTACATGACACCAACCTTGTGTGTCAACCTTTGCATTTTGCAATTTGGAAGCACCAAAATTATATGAACCTTGATTCGGAGGAGGCATCGTGTCGTACGTGGCATAAAAAACTTTCGGCGTTATGATCTAGCATTGAAATAAAGACACATGTCACTCGAATGCTAAGGACACATCGAGTAAAGTGAATCAACTACCATTTTCACCCCTGGTTCTGGTGAGAGTCTAGAGAAGTTGGCAGCAGAACTAGTAGGCCATGCAGTCATTGATGCAATTGTGGGCTTCCTGTGCGCAGTGGGAAATGCCCTGAAGTCTGCTAACCACCGCTTGTCGTTCGTGAACGCCATTGCGGTGGGACGACTCAGAACTACGCTGTATATCCTATCCTGTACCTTCTTTCGCGTGTAATTCGACAAAAAAGCTTAAATATTTCAAGTATCATACATACACCACAATAAAAGCTCTATGGTTTTCGTGTCCGAGTTGTTGCAGCTCGTGCTACCCGGCGCTATAGCTCGCTATCTCCCTGTTCTGCTGTGCGGTAGCTTTTGATTTACTTGCTTTGCTTTCTAAAAGCATTATTATAAGCGGTGTTTCGCGACGTAGGTTTGGCAAGCACTTGGAAGATGTCGCTCGAAATGGCCTCGAGACCATAGTGATCGCTATTGTGTTGACATTACTAATATTGGACCTACTACTTCTTCACTCTACTGACAAGGTAGTTGCAAAGCAGCTTATTTCAGGAATTATCGGTCTAGTACTAGGATCCGTGGCATTTCATTTAATTATCGTCTTGTTCGGAGCCCCCGTTGTCGAGTAACTCGCATTGTTTCTGATCACTTGCTAGTGAATAAATCTGACCGCATATGTATGTTGTGGTTTAGTTTGTGGATGCATACCTTATTGCTAGCTATATTCCTCTCGAGTTGTGTGACAATGCCCCTGGCAATACACTTTGGGTGTTCGCCAAGCCAATGGCTGAACTTGCTATTGCATCTTCGGTGCGTTGACCTGATAAAGGAAAAGTATGTTTTTTATTGCTGATATATATCACACACAGCATAAAGAACTTGCAGGAGTGGTACCTAGTTTGTTCGTCAATTGGTGCCATGCTCGGAGCTTACGTAGGAGCTTTTCCCATTCCGTTGGACTGGGATCGACCGTGGCAGGTATTCAATCGCACGAAATTCTATAAATTGATAGCATTCTGACTACAAGTTTTGTAGCAATGGCCGCTCACGTGTGTGTATGGCACGTTAATCGGCCATGCAGCTGGAATACTTATAAGTATCGTGAGAAGTGCCACTTCGGCGTCATTAGCCGCCAAAGAGACTAAGAAAAACTAGGCTACAAATAAAAATTAAAATTTTTGGTGAGATCAAGCTACTAAAAGTGTTTTTCGAAATGCTGCGCTCTTGAGATACATTCCAAGCTTTGTCTTAGCAACTTCGCTCGGATCATCGAAAAGCTGCTGCAGAATTTTTCGTCGTTGACTAGTATCGGCGAATACCAAGAATTCCAAAACAGCATTCACAGCAGCTTCCTTTAAACCTGGGCGTGCAACACACAGGCACTGTACGTACTGGCACATGACATCATCGACACAGACCGGATCATATTTCATGAGATTCAGCAACGTCTGGCAAAGCGTCGCCATGACTGCTTTGGTTATCGTCTCGGCTACTAAAATGGAGGCTACTGGTACTGCACATCGTCGGAGTAATGCCACCACTGACACTCCTTGGTCAGTCTTAGCGCATAAGGAATCAATGGCCTGCAACGCCTGTATGACGGCAGTCATATCGGTGCGTTCGGTCAACGGCTTAGCAAAGAACATTTCATGACTCTCGATGTGTGAGACCAAGTGCTCAACAAGCTGCTGCTGACTCGCACCTGCATGCTGCTTACTTTTAGTACCTGTTCGAATGGATTCCAGACTCGCGCGCAACGAACATTCACTATAACGCTGCGCCATTACTTCACCAAGTGCCGCTGTTGCTGGGTGCGAGTCGTACATATTCACGATATTTTCCAGTATGGTCGTACGCGATGGCGAAAAAATGAGCTCACTAGCGTAATCAAAGTCGGCCTCTAGAGCATCGTATAATAGTTCCCATGCGTGAGATACAAGTTGAGGAAACTCGATGGAATGGTTGTCAACAATCACGCGCAAAATCTCGAATAAAAATTGGCAGAACACTTTTCGAATACTCTGTTTATGGCACATATGGGGCTGCATGATCTGCATTGCACTCAAGACCTACAAGTACGAATAAGTCAGACACTGTGATATCCACGTAGATACAACTCACGTTTTGAAAGATTGTAGTCTTAAGGTAGAGTTGAGATAGAGATAGTGTGCCCAAATGCTGCATGAGCTGCCTAGGGAAGCGTGATAATACCAGCATAGGATGACGTCGAGTTATCTCTCTAAGACGTTCCATGGTTTCGTTTCCATCCCGCGTTAGATCGCGCAGAATTTCGTCCACCTGTGTAAGAACTCGATGATCCTGAATGACAAATTCAGGATGATTTGTGCCATGGTCGATGTTTACGAGCGACTTCCAATCTGGATAAAGACGATCAAGTTGTCCACCCACAATCTTAGGATTCTGAAAATATAAGTTCTATCGCGAGAGAAAACAAAACAAATGAGAAGCGGAAGTGACCAAAATTAGCGGTGAATACATACCCCAATAATTATACGCTTGACGTCTCCGTGAACCACAATAACATCGTCGAGATTTCCAAGGTGTGGATCAGCAGTCATAATTGAATCCAAAAGGCTGGTCATAGTGACATCATCGGCTTGATCGAGGGCGATGCGCATCAATAGGTCAATAGCACAAGAATCGATTGACTTCTCTATCACTATACCAGGGAGGCGTTGAAGTACTTCAACTTCCTTAACAAGCAGTACTAAGTTGTACAATGCCATGACATCAAATTGCAGCAAAACGTTCCGAGCTTTCCACCGCGCATACGCGTGATCGATAAATTGTACAAGCGTTTTAAGTACTAAGTGAACATCCATCGCTACTATCGGGTCGTTTAACCGGAGTAGGCTCTCACTTGATGAGGCTTGAGCTAGGTGTCGAATAAAGCCGACAGAAGTGGAGTACGACCCAATAAAGTCGTCGCTCGAATTATCCAAAGCACGCCGCACGAAGCCGATGCATTCTTTGCGATGAGCTGCATGTGAACACAATGCTACGTGATCCACAAGCAAGAGCAATGCCTTCGCAAGCTGAGCAGCAGCAGCTTCAGAGCTGCAAGTCGGGCCAACAAAGTGCAGCAGTGACGTATGCAGTGCCCATAAGTCAGCAGAAGTGTGCGCATTCGTGTCGTTCTGCATTGGACACATTCCTCGTACTCTTTTGCTCGCCACATACAAAAAGTCTTCAGCTGCTTTTATATCTGGCAAAACTTTCGTGCCGAAACTCCATTTAAGCTCTTCCGCCAAATTCAAAATCAACAAAGGGCTCAACATCGATGTAGGTTCTTTGTCTCCCTTTTGAATGAGGTCAGAGCCGAAGTATGTCTTCTCAAATATAGTAGGATCACTTTCCAAAAGCTTTTTGCGTTTTTTATTTGAGGATTTCTTGGCTGTTTTGGCCATTAATTCTGTGCAAAATGCTCCTGTGGAATAGGGAACGTCAATTTCGCGTTTCTGGATCGTAAACGCAGAAAACCCTTCAGAAAGCAAAAGCGCTTCTTCATCCTTTTCAGCCGTCTCTATGGATCGATTAAATCCACATCGTTCCTGGAGCCATTCACATAGCTGCTTTAATGAGCTTGATATGCCAGGCGAGAGCGGAGAAAGCGTGCCATAAGCACTCAGGTGCATCAAAATTCTGTGTGCTGCAACCGAGATATCTGAATTTTTGGTCATCGCAAGCAAGCTTGCAACAGCCTTGCTTTCATTTTTCTGAACAAATTCAACAGCTGATAGCAAGGCCAGCTCCAAACACTGCTCACTCAGAGCTGATTGCTCGAGAAGATGCCAAAGAGATTCGCTGGACATCGCACGAATGGCCGCTGCGCAGAGATGCGAGGTAGTTGACGAAGCTGCGGCTGCAAGTTTGGCCAGCAAATGATCTGGATAAAGACGTGAATCCTTTGTCGCAATAATTCCTGTACTTGATAAAATGGCAACATTAGACGTTCCTTTTGGGAAGAGGCTTTGCATCAACCTCGTCAAGCATGTAGCCGCTTTATCGTTGACTGATGATGCAGCCATTGATCGATCGTTATGTGCGTGGGGAGAACAAAGCACTTGAATAGCGCCATGAATGATTACAGCAGGGAGTTTGATCTCACGAATTGTGTTAGCTCCGTCAGTGACGTAAAACACTTTGCAATCGGAGAAACTGATGCCAGATGTTGCTTTTAATTGAGGAGTAATGACCAATTGTGACTCAATCGCACGCCAGACTACCTCGACTGTCATGGCAAAGATATCATAGTCTTTTAGCAATAGTGTTGCCACCAAGTCTCGCCCAGCTAAGAACTTTCCGTACGCTCCTGCCAGCATCAATGCCTTTTCAACCGCAGATTTTTTGCAGTGGCTACTGTCATCATCTTGTTTCACGTCACGTGTTTCGGCAAAACTACTCATTGCATTATCGTCGTCTTTTGAAAAATCGTTTAGTGCTTTCATGCACATTCGAAGTGATGGAATAGATGTCTCTAGCTCGAGCAAATTCTCTAGCGAGCAAAAAATTTGGCCGCGGATGCTGCTGTAGCACGGCAGCTTAGCCAACTCTTCTAACCACGAAAAAATTTGGGTGCTCTCGGCATCAAAGAACACAGCAACCGGCTGCAATTCATTTGATAGCTCATCAACACTGCGTGGTGTAGTCAGGAGATTCAAAATATGAGCAGCCACTCGTCGTGTGCCCAGCTCAGAAGAATTTAAACACTCAAGATAATATGAAACCACACTCGATGCCACCTCAGGGTCGTCGTTTCCAAAAAGATACTCGCGTAGCTGACTGAGCAAGCGTGGAATAATTTGAGCCAGTGCTGGTCGATTCAAAGGGACTTGGTTAAGCAAACCGGTCCTGCTCTTGCCATTGTCAGGACGCACTGCAAGAAGGAGCAATTGACACAAGCATCCATACGGTAGATACTGCACCGTGTCAAAGTCCTCGCAAACAATATCAGCGATCCACCACGCACTATTCGCTGCCACATTGAAATTCTGCACAGCATTTTTGTTTCCATTTCCGGCAACCATCTCCATCAAAAAGTCTTTCTTTCGACTTTGTCGCAACCGCATGCCAAGCTTGAATTTTTGGTCTAATGTACGAAGGTGCTCCATGATCGCTGGTGGCGGTTGGCGAGCCAGCCCATCCGACTCAAACAGCATAAGCGGATCCCCCGTTACTGACGGGTCGCCTTGATTTAGCTGGAGCACTTGATGTTCGTAATCGCGCAGGTGCAAATTGCCTTGGATCACGTCAGAAAATGCATTTTGGTGCTTGCCAAGAAGTGATGGGTCTGGGGCGCTTATTGCCGGGAATGTATATCGGCCTGTAATGACCATCTGCATCAAACCTCGCAGAGTTGTAATTCTATCCCAAATGAAAGTGCCGATGGTGTTTACGTTGAAACATCCAACGATCTGTTAGGTTTGAAAGATTATGTTAGAAGCAAACATTTCGTATCTCTTTTGGACTTACCAGTAAAATAGAGCAACAGATCCAAAATCGGCTTGAATGGTAAAATTCTTGCTCCTGTTTTTCTTCACTTCCTTGCCACTTAGCAAAAACAACAATACATGAAATTAGTAGTCATTGCTGAGAGTCCACGCATGTTTATAGTCATGCACCGATGCTAGCTGGAAAAGGTGCTGGACGAGTTGAGTATTCTTCACTTCAATTCCAAGAACACCACCGCTTTGAACATAGGCCGCAAGATCGTCTTCATGATGACGCCACAATGCTTCACGGTGCATATGTGCCTCGGCACCGCGAAATACAATAGTCTCCAGTGTGCGCAGAGCTTCCATGCGGTCAATAGCACGACAAGAATTGTATAAGCTTGTAAGGAGATCCAGCGAATCTTCGTGGACAGGTATATGCTCCTTTGTCGACTGAAAACACGTCCGGTCGTGTTCTGTAAGCTGCATATCCGAGGGAACATCAAGAAACAGCAGTTTTTTCACGATGCTTTCATACAGCATCTTTTCGAAAGGTGAATCGCCGTTAAGTCCAAAGTGTGCTAACACATCACGACAACAGACAATGGCTTCTCGTTGTACAATTGCAAGCGCTTGTTGCAACTCTTCTTTAGCCCAAACCGAGATCTTGACTGTTCTTGATCCGTCAGAGGTTGTACTACCGCTGTTACTGCCACTTCCGCACAGGCTGTGGCTAGTTACATTAGCACTCCCACTACTGCCGAGTGTCGATGATAGTGAAGCTTTGCCAAAAGACGGCTTTCCTTTTGAAGAACCCAACCTGTTTATTCTAGATACTGGATGTGGTGGATTGGATCCGTGTCGAGAGACAGCCTGTGTTCCACCATGCTTAAGGCCTGACGGAAAAGTGGCTCCTGTATTTTGACGATTGTTAGCACTTGATTGCTGAATCTGCAGACTTTTCACAGCTGCTCCTCGCATCAAAAGGATCAGCCATACAACACCTGTGACGAGTCCCATATAGTCCAACACTCGCGCATCACCCGCTAGCGCATCCCAATGACCGTCGTTATCAAGTATGCCAGCGCACAATGCCTTGATGTCAATCTGTTCGAATGTCAGCTGCTTTAGAATTTTGCGTACAATCGTCTTTAAAGCTGGAGCAACGTCCGAAACACTGGCCAAATCTCGAAAAACATGCGCCAGTTCTCGACTTGCGAGAGTACCTTGGTGCTCAATTGGCCGACGAAAAAACAAATCGTCTGGGCTGCCCAGAATAGAGGAAGCAGATAGAGAGCGCGACGCTCGAAAAACATGCTGCAGCATTTTCATGTTGTCAACATCCCGCGACATATTGTTGGGTCGCTCTCGTGAGATAAATACCGTAATTGCACGCCTTAAGTACACAGGATTGTTGCAAACAAGATGCGTGACAGCTTCAACCTTTAGCTGGAACATGGTAGACTTAAGCTTCAATTTGAGCAGCAGATCCACCGTAGCAAGATCGTGAGGGCTCGTCGAATTGCACAATGAAATGATTTTGTTCAAAAGATCTTTTGCTAGGCCTTTGACAGATGAATTTTGTAACCAAGCTTCCATATTCTCTGCTCCAAACACGCGCACCTGAGAAATGCTGGCAAAGTCGGCTAAGGTCATGATTATGTTTCGTACCGCGTTGTTGCCGCCAATCCCAGCGGCACTTCCCGTATTGCTAGACTTTCCATTATCGATCTCCACAAGACGCGAGCGAATATGGCTGGTGATCAGGTCTTTCAATTCCTGTACCACATGAGATTTATGGAATCGTTTTCGAATAAGCGGCTGTGTGGTCTCTGCTTCGTCTGCTTCCATAACTGTTTTGACATTTTGGACGAACAAGCGGCTTAATTCATGATCAACCCAGACTCGAGAGAAGAGTGAGTCGTCTAAAAACACTTTCACACTATCAACAGGCCACTCGTTACTATTCTTAAGAACTTCCACAAGAATGTTTGTAATTAGGACAGGTAGCGAGATCTGGAAGTAGTCACTTGACTGCGTTGTTCCCAATGCAACGGTCGTACTTGGCTTTTTTCCATGCTCAGAGATGTCTTTCATCCCCAAATAGTGCTTTGATCGCAATAATCGCAGCAGATACTTCAGTACTACGGGTTGGCTGAATCGCTTTGGATCTTCCTTTACCGCACCAAGCAATGCCACAGAAAAAAGTCGACTTGGCATCTTGCCTTCTCGTATCAGCCGGCTACAATTATCGGTCATAAGTTCCATCAATTTCGACTCAGAAGTCGCTTCACTAAGCGCATCTCGGAAATGCTGATCAGGAACTTCGTCCGCATCCGTTTCGGCATCTGGCGGTGTCCTCTCCAAATCCATTTGCTCGTCTTGAGCGTCCTCATCATCAGCACCATTCATTAATGTATCAATTGATAAGCTTTTTCGCTTCATAGGCGATGACAGGGGCGTGGCAGCTGTAGATGAGAGGTCGCTTGGCAGTTTCTCCTCTTTGATTTCGCTCGTCGGGTTGTCATCCTCTTCTTTTGTATTATTGTCAACTTTTTCCTCTTCGCTTTCATCAGTTGATTGAGCTTTTTTAGATACGTCTTTTCTCCAAGTCTTCTTTTTCTCTAAGGACGTGTGCTTTTCTGCCGCTTCAAATCTGACACTTGTTTTAATTCTTTGTATCGCCTTGCCCCTCTTTTTATGAAGCACTTGCCGAGACCTGGCTTCATGTGCTTTCTCCCCTTCTTCTTCGTTTGTATCTTCTTCGTCGTCCTCTTCTTCCTCTTCTTCCTCCTCTTCTTCCTCTTCGTCCTCTTCTTCCTCCTCTTCCTCATCTTCTTCCTCGTCCTCATCCTCTTCACCTTCATCTTCTTCCTCTTCTAATTCTTCATCCTCGTCAGCCTCTTCTTCTTCCTCTGACACAGTGATTTTCCGTCTTTGTTTCATCCTCGGTGATGGCGTAGTTTGTCTCCCCTTCCGCTTGAGATTTACACGTACACGAGTTCCTCTGCGTCGCTCTTTAATATCTGCTTCCTCCTCTTCTTCACCTTCCTCATCTTCATCTTCTTCTTCGTCCTTTCTTGCCTCTTCATCTCCTTTCTCCTTCTCAACTTTTTCTGTCTCATTTTCCGTTTTTCCGTTTTTCCCCTTCTTCTTCAATTTTTTTATGCTCTCTTTTGCTTCTGCCTCTTGTTTTTTTGTCTGCGCACGTGTCAGCTTGGGTGATAGTGTCTTCTTGCCTTCTTCTTGTTCTTCCTCCTCATCATCTTCATCATCCTCCTGACTCTTTTCTTCGGCGTCGTCTTCGTCATCATCATCCACTACCACGTTCTTCCGTCGTAACCCACGGCGCGTCGACCCGCGGGTCGTCACTCGCCCACGTATCATTACTGCTCGTCGCTACAATTCTTTACAATTAGTATAAAATTCTGTCAAGTAAGTTATGATGCTTGTCAATACGTGCTTAACTGAAAAAACTGTTGTTTTGCGTATAGTCAAGATATGAATCTTTTATCAATTACGAGTAAATATAAAATTCATAATGTCCTAGATTGTTTGTATATGATGAATGTCTAAATGAATGTTCAATATGATAAGCTATTGAATTAATGTGCATAACTACTGGCAGTCCTGCCTGTATGTTACAATGTAGCCACACCATTGTGTGATTACACCGAATTGTGCAATACACACATTTGTTCGGTCACACCATCGTGTGACCCACCCGCGTAACTCCGTCACACTCTCCCCAGTCAAAATTGTGAACACCCACAATTCACATTTAACCGTCGCCTCATACGAGGCTCGCATGTCTGAAACACCATTACGTCCCTAAGAACATCTTTGAACATTCTCCACTCAGTAAGCCCTGTGTCTTTGAAACAGATAACACCCAGCTTAGCTGATTCCGAGGGTGCCCGCGGGCAAAGCCCTTCTTCTTTTTCTGCACGGGGTGCCTCTCCGGAGTGTACGTCAGCGGCTTCAGGGGAAACACATCTTGAGCCCTCGGCAACCGAGCACCACACACTACGCTCGCCACGGGAGACAGAATTCCTCGTCGAGGATTCGAAGGAACTCAATTACGAGTCGGATACTCCTTTCCCAGCATAAGAAGACAAGCAAGGCGAGGTGCGCCAACGGCGCGACGTAAGCCCTGCCGCAACCTTGCGGACACCGCATCCGTTCCCCGACCTCTCGACTTCTGGGGGAAGTCTCTCTTAAGGAGATTCGACAAAGGCTGTGCCATTTGCGCTGTATTTGTGTAAGTAGTTAGCGAGGCCAAGCCACTTGCGAAAGTCCTTTGGCTTTTTGAAATGGCCAGTCGACAATGGTCTTGGCCTTAGCGGATCCGCTCAAACGCCACGAAGCACCCTAACTGGAAGATTGATTCAGCGCCGAAGATGCACTTATCGGTATTAGCATACAGCTTATTCGTGCGCGTGTGCTCTACCACTGAGCCACACAGGCAAGACGCAGTGGCGTGGGTCAAGTGGTTTATGCTTCTGGGCCTAATGTTGTGTGGCGCGGGTTCGAGCCCCTCAGCGGACAAAATCGTAATCGAACCAGACATGCAAAAAATGTCGGCTGCATGCAAAATATTACCGACAACAGCCAAAATTGGACTTCGGGATGGCGACTCGTACAAGAAATAGTCAGGAAAAATCAAGAAAAATACCC